CGATTCCAAAACAGTTAGTGCTGATACGCACAGAAAAATCCGCCCCTCGGGCACAAATACCACGGTATAACAAGTAAAGAGGCAAATAAGTTTGCAAGATGAGCACATAAAAGTTCGCCCCTCGGGCAATATCTCAAAACAGTACCGGCCCCTCGGGCATGATTTATGTTCCTGGCCAGTCATTGTTACCTGACCGGTCAGCCATTGTTACCTGACCAAAACGCGTATTACAGTGCCATTGTTACCACTGGTCAGCCATTGTTACCTGACTGGTCAGTCATTGTTACCTGACCAAAACACGTATGACAGTGTCATTGTTACCACTGTCCAATTCTAAATGGGTACCCGCACTCACTGTGGGTGTGCAGACTCCGGAGGGGCTCCTACAGCCCAAGCGCTATATCATCATAAGGCCTGATAGAACATATCAACATGAGGCCTGAAAGCCTTCTCACAATACACTCGAGGCCTGAAAGCCTCCTCATATATCACTCGAGGCCTGAAAGCCTCCTCACATATCACTCGAGGCCTGAAAGCCTCCTCACATCACTCGACATATCCTCACATATGGCCCTCGGCCTCAATCAGTCCAAAAATAATCATAAGCCCCTCAGGCATCAATAAAGACAATAATGCTCAGCTCAAACAATAATTCAAACATCAGTTAAAACTCAAGGTTGAGTAAAAATATAGCTGAGTTCATGAAATAGTGTAATTCAAATGGACTGAGTTCAAATAATATTTTTCAAATAGTGAGGAAAACAGTGATGATAGCTCACAAGGATTTTAAACAGTCGGCAATAAGCCCCAAGTATGGCAATCAGCCCAAGTCGTGATAATATCAAATAAGTTTCAATCAAATACGCGGTAAAATCAACAATCGGGACGGACCAAGTCACAATCCCCAACGGTGCTCTACCCCACGCTCGCTATCCGGCATGCAAGTCACCTCGATATAGCACTACGGTGTGCAACTCCGGGGTTTCAAACCCTCAGGATATCATTTACAATCATTACTCACCTCGAACCGGTGAAATCTCTAGCTCGCGACGCCCTTGCCCCATCAAATCGGCCTCCACGCGCGTCGAATCTAACCAAAATCAGAACGAATACATCATCATATGCTAAGGGAACAATACCCAATCGAAAACAATCGAAAAATAGCAACAATCTCGAAACTAGCAAAACCCGAGCCCTGGGTCCACTTCCCTAAAAATTACAAAACTCACATTACCGGATTCCTCGTCTCGCCACGAGTCCATACATACCAAGAACTCCCAAATTCGAGCTCAAATGACCCATCAAATCCTAATTTGAAATATCAAAAACTCAAGCCCTAGCTTTACCCCTTTTGATGAATTTCAACAAATTTCCAGTTAAATCAAACATAATCTCGTGAATTTAGGCCAAGGAACTTACCTCTAATCATTCCTCCTTGAATCCCTCTTCAAAATCGCCTCAAAGCTCTCAAAGCTCGCTCAAAAATAGTGGAAATAACATAACCCTTGCGGAGCAAAAATGAATAAAACTCCTACTGGCCTTCAGGGGTTTCCGCTTCTGCGGTCCCCACTCCCGCTTCCGCGCGACCGCTTCTGCGGTTTTTTTGTCCGCTTAACCGGAATTTCATTAAATCACAAGGGTCGCTTCTGCGACAAAATTTCTCGCTTCCGCGAAACTTCACCCCAGGTCAAACCGCTTCTGCGACCTCATGTCCGCTTCTGCGGACTCGCTTAAGCGAAACGACTTCCACTTCTGCGGAACTGCTCAATCTCACCCTCTTTCGCACCTGCGAAGCCTTCTCCGCTTCCGCGCAACCGCATCTGCGGTTGTCTTTCCGCAGATGCAAAAATACCTGCTGCAGCCAAGAACCTGAAATTTCCAACTTTAATTTCCTTCCGATTGCCACCCGAAATCACCCCGAGGCCCTCGGGACCTCAACCAAAAGCACCAACACATCTTAAAACATTATTCAGACTTGCTCCAATCATCAAAACACATCGATCATCGCTAAAACCATTAAATCACATCGGATTCAAGCCTAAGTTCTTCAGAAACTTCCGAAATGCACTTTCGATCAAAAACCCGACCAAACGACGTCCGAATGACCTGAAAATTTGCACACATATCCAACATCACCTAACGAAGCTACAGAAACTCTCGGAATTCCATTCCGACCCTCGGATCAAATTCTCACCCATCAACCGGAATTCGCCAAAATACTAACTTCGCCAATTCAAGCCTAATTCTACACCGGACCTCCAAAATCAATTCCGATCACTCTCCTAAGTCACAAATCATCCCCCGAAGCTAACCGAATCACCGGAAATCACATCCGAGCCCCATAACTCATAAGTCAACCTCCGGTTGACTTTTTTCCAAACCAAGCCTTCCTTAAAGATACTAAGTGTCTCATTTCTTATCAAAACCAATCCAAATCAACTCTAACACACCAAATACCGATAACGAAACATGAAGAAGCATAAAATGGGGAAAACGGGGCGGTAGCTCCTGAGACGACGGGTCGGGTCGTCACAAGCGGGCACCTGACCGCAGAAGCGGTCCAGGCTTCTTGGGCCATTTCGCAAAAGCGGGCCTTTTTCCGCAGAGGCGACTTCCACAGAAGCGGTCACAGTGCCGCAGAAGCGGAAATCGCTGGGGGCATAGAGTTCAATTAATCCGAACTCTAAGTCATTCATTCCATATACAACTCCACACTAGGGCGATTTTGGTGCTTCCAAAGAGAGGGTTTCAGCATAGCATTGTAAGGTAAGTAATTCTCATTCATCCTTAGCTTAAATACATGTATATTAGGTAGATTAAACACTAAAAATTAGGTAATATCAAAGGGTTAGAGCTAGACCTAGGGTTTTAATAAAACTAAGATTTAATCATGTAATTTGTTAGGAAATGGGCTAGAATTTATATATTATTGATCCTTAGGATGTAGAGAACGATTTCTTTTGAAAAATATCGGAATCCGGGCACGTGGGCCCGGGGTCGGAATTTAGGAAACTTGTGGAAAAGGTTGGGAAATTACTTAAATAGTTAGAATTTGACCTTTTAAGCCTTTAATTACTAGTTCTTACCTATTTTAACTAGTTTGTGATCGTTCGGCTTCGAATTAAGAGCTTGGGTTTGTTCTCGATATTGGGAGCGCGCTTTGGAACGAGGTGAGTCTCCTTTCTAACCTTGTAAGAGGGAATTGTCCCCATAGGTGTAATAACTGAATAATTGTTGCTAAATGCGGGGGCTACGTACGTACTAGGTGACGAGAGTGCGTGTGTAGCTAGTATGATATTAATTGTATGGGTAGTTTAGGACCCACATCATGCCTAATTTGGAAGTATCTCTTATTTAAATTGCCACTATGATTATTCATGATATGCTACAGACTTAAAGGAAATATGAAGTGAATGTATGAACTTGTTAGCCTTCGTAAGAGCTTCCTGGTATGTGTATGAACCTTCGTGTGCATTCTTGATGTTTTCTTGATATTTATGGATCGGGTCGATCGCCTCGGTGAGAATAGATGCATCTATGGTTTGTGCCGTTCGACCCTCGGCAGTGCACATTTTTAATTCTGTTGGAGCGGGCCATCGACCTCGGTGTGATTGCATATGATATGTATATGTATGCTGATACTTGAACATGACATGCCTACTTGCTTAGAAATTGAAAATGTAAAATGGAAACTGAAGTAAGGACAAGAATATGGTTATTGCTCTTTGTTATAACTTGTTGAATATTGGTGACATTCATGCTTAGAATAGCCCAATTATATTATATTATCTTGACCCTAGTGAGTATCAAGTCGACCTCTCGTCTCTACTTCTTCGAGATTAGGCAGGATACTCACTGGGTACATATTGTTTATGTACTCATGCTACGCTTCTGTACTTAAATGTACAGGATCTGAGGCAGGTGGATCCGGTTATTTCTCTGGTGCGCATTCGTGAGCAGGCTTGGGACTTCTACGGTGAGCTGCTTTCCTTCCATGTCGATCCGCAGCCGAAGAAGTCTTTCTTTTGTATTGTTATTTTCTGTCTATTCTGATCCAGACAGTAGGGTAGTGTGGTCTTCTTTTGGGTTGTATATTCTACTAGTTGCCCATAGCTTGTGACACCAGGTTCTGGCACACACTTTGGTAGACGATTATTTTGGAGTTGTGTAACTATTTTATTATAGTATTTATCTCTCCTGGTTTTAACTTCCAAGTTGAGAGTTTATTCCACTTATTCTAATTAAAAATAATATGATTATTTTAGTAATATTTCCGCAATGGCTTGCCCGACAAGGATGTCAGGCGCCCTCATGACCTATTGTGCAAATGGGTTGTGACATTATTAATATTTTTTTAGTATAATTTGTATTTGAAAATAGTTACATATTTTTACCATTGTTAAGTTTATTTTTTCATAAAAGTTAAGAACTTAATATGACCGTTATAGGGGGTGTATAATAAAACAAAATAGTATATCATAATTTATTTTTTGGTAAATAATAATATCATAATTCATTCTAAACAAAATATTACTTGAAAGTTTCAAATATACTTTTAATAAGTATATAATTATAATTAGTTAAATTTAAATATCTAAATATATTACATTTAAACAATTATGTGCTTGTATATATCTATATTGCTTACTAGTTATATTCAATTTAGATAAGTATTAAAGTTATTGATTGATATCATAGTATTTTAGTAACATAATAATTATCATAAATCTAACTTAACACTAAAAATGAAGAAGCTAATACTATTGAAATATGAACACATAACAAAACAAACAATATAATCTAGGATGAAAAAAGTGGTAAAGAAAAATATATTTTAGAACATCTTTATTCATGCAAATAGTTGATTTTTTTATTTTAGTTAAATGTAACTCTTTTGGTCTATTGTAGGTACTTTTCTTACTTTTATTTGCATTTATTGTATTTGTATTTTTTTTCCCTTGTATATGGTATTGTATTAAGAAGTAAAGCAAAATATAAGAAACGAAACACAAACTAAATCTCTAAACCAAAGTCCAAAACCTAAACTTCATCCCTCAGCCGCCACTTCCCTTCCCCACTTTCTTATTTCTTTCTTTTACCATTAATCGATATTAATTCAAGGCTGCGGGAAGAACAGAGGATCAACAAGAGTGTATCCCCATTGCAATCTCCATTTATGGACAAAAATTTTAACTTGTTGGTTCGTCTATTCCCCAGTAAGCGCACGTCTCTATATCATAGTATTTTTTATTCTTCTTACGCCTACTTGAGTTTGGGATTTTTACTTCAATCTTACGGGTTATTCCAGCAATTTGATAGATATTATGGCCTTATTTTTTGATAAGTGATGAGTGCAATTTTAAAGATTTGATATATTTTGTGCCTTACACCTAATTGACTTGGGTTTTTGCTTCAATTATTTATTTTTGATTTATAGGATGCTCAAGAGAAAAGTGCCTTTGAGAAATTGTAATCTCTTCTAATGCCAAACTGTAAGTTTTTCTTTCTTTTTTTCCATCTTCTTTAGTTTTATGATGTTTATTTAAATGATTTTTTTTTCTGTGTTGAAACAAGTTTAGATCCGATTCATGGCTAAGTTTTTTCTTATTCAATTATTCATTGAATTTTTAATTATTAACTGTAATGCATCTAACTGGTATATATTCTGATAATTTAAATAAAAAATTTTCACAAGATTATTTTATATTATATTTCAGTCTAGTGATTACGGAGAGTGCTTCATATATTGTTGGATGCATAAAAATCAACTGGTGTGATGAAGGTGGCGACATAAGTCATCAAGATCAAATAGGAGTGACAACATGAATTATCAAGCAAATGCTTATATTCGTTTAATGTGGAATGCTATACATTATTTCTAATCTCTATTATCATCAAGCCTCACATCGGCTAATTCTTTTCTTCAAATTTTATTATTGTAAAAAAGTTATGTAATGCAGATGCTATTAATTGATCAATATGAATGTGTATCTTGGATTTATTTGTGAAAATTTTTAAATGTCAATTTGTATAGAATAAGTTATTTATCAAGCTAATATTTTATTACTATTAGTTTTAATATAACTTGCACAATCATAGAATAATTGAAAAAAATTAGATAAAAATAAAATAGCGAAGAAATAGGGTGATAGGAACTTTCATCGCTACTAAAATCAATATTCTGTCAAAAAACTAATAATAAGATAATGTACCCTTGACTTTTTTGTATGATTTGTAGCCATAAAACCTTTTGGCCATAGCTAAACCAAAATACTTTCGCCACGGGGTAATATATGAAAGCAGTTACATATCTAAACTTCTGTGACAAATAAAATTTAAAACTTTTGCCACGCTATATCACTTTGACGTGGCTACCATATAAAAATAGCTACAAATTAATTTGTTGTGGCAAGAGTATAAAATCATTTGCTATAAATATATTTGTCGTGGCAAAGGTATAAAATTATTTTCTATGAATATAGCTACAACACAAAATTTTCGTAGCAATAAGTATTAATCCTTAGCCACGGATCATGTAAAGTTTGTAGCTAACTTTTAGCTACGTTACATTTTGCTACGAATGCTATGGAAAAAAATATTGTGGCTAAAGTGTTTAGCCACGAAAATTTTCATAATTAACTACATTGTATTTTGTAGCTATAAATGCATTATGATGTAATGAACAATGACATCAAGCAGGGACGGATGTAGCCCTATAACACCGGGTTCAATTGAACCCATAATTTCGACGCGAAATATAAATTTATGTGCAATAAATTACTAAAATCGTAATAAATTATAGGTATGAACCTATCACTTTAAGAATATAATGGGTTCAATACTAAGAACCTTATAGGTTGAACCCATAAAGTTTAAATCCTGAAGGGGTGTCCGAAACTTAAATAGTGCCTTTTTGGGCACAAAATACCTTTTTACTGTTAAAAAAAAAAAGTTACACAACTACATAATTCGCAGTATTATACTGCGATAACCGTTAAAGTGATTCGCAGTATTATACTGCGAATTATTAAAAAAATAATTGTTTTTTGGAAAACTCAGTATAATACTGCGATCAAGCTATTCGCAGTATGATACTGCGATTCGCTTTTAAATTTGGGCCCACCAATAAGTGCTCTGCGGATAACTGACATAACAATAATTCAAATTGATAAAACTCAGTATTGTACTGCGATTTATATTTAAAAATTTTGCATACCAAGCTCGGACTTGCCTTATCTAAAGGCGTTTGATTTTTATGAAAATTCATTCAAAATTCTCCTTCAAACTTCTCTCTTCTTCTTATCAAATATTTTTTTATAATGTCTGAAGAGCCAAAAATAAGGGTTTCATTATATTGGGGGGGGGGGGGGATGAAGTTGTGCTGGAGAATAACTCTGTGAGGTATAGCTCACCTCCACAGTGTCATGTTAAATTTCCGCTTACAATGGAGTACGATAAATTGGTATCGTTGTTATGTAAAAGAATGAGTGTGAGGAAACGTTCGGTGAACCTTAAAGTAACCGGTAGATTTTCGTATTCAGTGACTCCGCAGGAGTTTGCTTATTATTCTGAGTTTAACATCGAAGATGATGAAACTCTTAGAGATTTTTTGCAGATCCGGATGAATACAGAGAATTATTGTAATAAAATTGTTGGAAATGTACGTCAAGGTTGAAGACGTTTCCAATAATGAGGACGTGCATAGTAGGGATAACCCCCAGTCATCAGGTGGTTATTCTGGATCAGTTTTTGCGGGACAGATTGCTGATGAAAGAGCTTGCCTTGATTTAAACTTGTCACCGCCGGCGAATGAGCAGCCACAAAATAATTTTTCGTCTTTATATAATCCACAAGACGACTGGTAAACTTCAATTTTTCTATGCTTTAGCGATGTTTATTTTATGTTTTAATTGGTATGTATTAACACTCATATTTTTCATAGGGGGTACCATCCGGATATGAATTTTACAAGTTATGACCCCTCCCCTAGTTGGAATATGCGTAGTTCTGGCGTATTGGACCACGGTGATCCATCCGGGAGTCATCACCAACAATAAAACATCCATCATGAAACGTCAAGACAGTACGACTTGTAAGTAAAGTGATATACTATATGTAAGGTATTTATCTAGTTGGGTAGCTTATCATTTTGTTCTTTTTGTGCAGTGAAAACGAGCATCTTGATGCTCCTGACCTCACACAGTTGGCCATAGACGACGTATTGACTCGTGATTTGGCAGATGCGTAGAGTTAGGAAGACGATAGTGATTATGACAATAATGCGGATGAGTCTGGAGATGACACACCCTTCCATGATGAGGGTGATGATGAGGAGGAAGTGAATGTTGAACCTGAGCTGACGAGGGAGCATGTTCCTCCACCTCCCGCTAGACCAAGAGTGTACGAGTCCCACGTGCCATTTCATGAGCGGAATATTCCCTACCTTGATAATTTGCCAAGTATGTCGGACGTGGATGCCCTCACAAGGGATGATGACGAAATTCGGTCAGCGATGTGGGATGAGTCTAGACCAGCGGTGCTGACAAAGGGCAGTATTTCCCCGATAAAGCTCGCCTAATCAGGGCTGTAAAAATCTACAGCGTAAGAGAGTGTCGTGAGATGACCGTAAGCGAGTCAACGTTGTATGTCGTAGATACTTTATGGGTTGTCACTGGATGTTGCGTGCCAGCAAGAAGAAATCAGGGTTGTGGAAAGTGGGTAAATTTATTAGCACCCCACAGATGTGAAATGGACACATTCAATGAGAATCACTTCAACTTGGATGTAGACTTGATTTCTCTTGTCTTGATTCCATATTTAGAAGTGTCCATTAGGTTCAAGATTAAAGAGTGTATTACAACCGCAAAAGAAAGGCATATCTCGGTCGCAAACGTGCCTTTGAACTTATTTATGGCGACTGGGATAAGTCTTTTTCATCTCTGCGCAGGTACATGGCTGCACTGCAACACTTTAACCCCGGGACTGTTGTTGAATGGAGGCGTGGGCGGAGTCAGGACAGACCCGAATATTTTCAGCTATGTGTTCTGGTCATTTAAACCAGCAATTGATGGTTTTGTGCATTGTCGTCCTGTAATTTCCATAGACGGTACTCATGTCTATGGAAAGTATGATATTAAGCTTTTGATTGCAGTTGCAGTAGATGCCAACGGACAAATATTTCCACTAGCCTTTGCCATTTGTGCCAATAAAAGCGAAGAGACGTGGACGCTTTTTTGAACCACTTGAAGCAGCACGTTGTTAAACAGCGTTTAGGTATTTGTCTAATATCTGATTGGCATGGGTACGTCACTTGCCTGAATGGCAGGAACCCTATGCATACCACTGTTACTGTGTGAGGCACCTGAAGGCCAATTTCCAGAAGAAATATCCTGACAAGGCCTTGCATGACTTAATGTGGATGGCCGCAACTGAGCACCAGCAGTGCAAATTCATGAGGCGCATGGAAGCGATCCGGCAGATTGATCAACGAGCATATACTTGGCTGATGGGACATGAGCTTCACATGTGGACATTGCATGCTGATGGCGGCAGACGATGGGGAGCCCTGACTAGAAATGTGTCGGAGTCATTCAACGGCTTGTTGAAGTCTGCCCGTGGATTGCCTGTCACTGCCATGGTCCGCATGACATTCAAACAGAGTGCGCAGAGGTATGTTCAAAGGCATGGAGCTGCATCGGCATTGATGGAGGGGTGTTCAATTTATGCCAATCCCGATGAGAAGATTTGAAAGGTACAGGAGGCGAGCATATTGGCATTCATTTTTACAGTACGATCACGACCGGGGTGTTTTTAAAGTTAAGACCGCTACCCGCGGACACCGTGGGAATAACCTACAGATGGTTGTGTTCATGTGGGAAATGGACCATCTACCACATGTCGTGCGCACATGCCTTGAAGTGCTTTCAACAAGTTGGTTTAGGGGCAACCAACTATATTGATAGGCAATACAGTGTTGCTGCATACGTAGACACGTATAGTGGGCAGTTGCAGCCATTAGGTGCTGAGCATTATTGGCCACCGGAACCTTTTAAGATGGTGTGTAACAAGGACTATTTGCGCAAGCTGCAAGTGCAAAAGAGAACGCGTATACGGAACCAAATGGATGTTGGTGACACCGTTTATGCGCGTAAATGTGGCATATGCTCGCAAACAGGACACGACCGTCGTAAATGCCCTTCAGGTGGTGTGCGTGGCGGTGGTAATCCAGCTCCTGGTGCAAGTTCGTCGAATGTACCCAACTATCAAGGATACCCCTAGTCTTTTGTTTTCGTATTGTTTTTTTTGTAATACGTGTCTGTCCTTGTGTATGTTGCAATATCTATCAAATAAAATTATGTTCCATAATCTTGTTACATCTTATTTTTTAACATGACCTTTTGATATGGTTGTTCAAATATTAAACATATTGGTGTTTGTAAAGAAGACCAAGATTGTGTAAAGAAGACCAAGATTGTGGACCAAAAAAAATCACATATTAAAAAATAAATTTAATATGTAAAGCGTGGTATAATACTACATTTTTTTGAGTTGTCTTGTCGTACTGAAAAAGCTGAAAACCATGTGAGCTGTTTTGTTGCAGAAAAATTTAAAATGTAAAACGCGGTATAATACTACATTTTTTTGAGTTGTCTTGTCGTACTGAAAAAGCTGAAAATCATGTGAAAAAACTGTTTTGTTGCAGAAAAATTTAAAATGTAAAGCGCGGTATAATACTACGTTTTTTGGAGTTGTCTTGTCGTTCTGAAAAAGCTGAAAACCATGTGAAAAAGCTGTTTCGTTTCAGAAAAACTTTAATATGTAAAGCGTGGTACAATACTACGTTTTATCAGTTGTCTTGTCGTTCTGAAAATAGCTGAAACGACTGCGAAAAAGTTGTTTGTTTCAGAAAAACTTTAATATCTAAAGCGTGCTATAATACTACGTTTTATGTGAAATCTTGCCTATAAATAACGGGCGCATTCTAGTTATTTTCTGCGCTTA